AGTGAGGCTGCCAGGTTTTGCTTGAAATGTCCATGTTTTGCCGTAGCTTTCGTGCTGCAAGTGAATTTTCTGCTATTATATCCTGATTTAGGATGTTGTACGACGCCCGTAGCGGCGCCTGCATTCCGCTAGCCAACATGGGCCCTTGCTCTCCGTCTTTTGCGCCGCCTGCGGCGCCGTACGCATTCACATTAAGGTCGGATGCAACAGCCCTGGTATACCAGGGCCTGCATGTGTGCACACCTGAACATGGTGAATCAAGCATTTCATTTCAGTAGTTTGCAGGGGGACCGTGTTGCAAGCATGGTTGACGGTCCAACGCAGAGGGCCATGCTTGTGACTGATATGGATCGGGGACGCTCGATCCACGTACCTGCTTTAAAGGCCGCCCGAATTTGCACCCTCAATGCTGTTGTTTCGTATTGGCCTTCCGAAGTGATCTCAGTAAAATGCTTTTCCGCATTAGGATGCTCGAGGTTCGCCTCATCAGTTCTCGCCAAGCCTAAGTGTGTGCGTGCCGCGTGGGGTCCAGTGTGGCTTCCCCGTGGCCACCACCGCGACTGCTGCCGGCGGCGGCCATGATAGTCATCTCATCCTCGCTCACCGATGCATCGTGAAGTTCACATCCGGCCCAGTGTGCTCGGGTTGTGCTGCGGAGCTCAGGCATGGATGCGTGTTTCGATCGTACCAAGAGAGTCGTGTTACGAGCTGTTGGCCCGTTCCTGAGCCGATTCTCTGATCGTAGATGTTGAAGCGTATGCAGCATTGTCCAAGCATCACGCAGTGCATGAGTCGCATGGCCATAGTGCCACATCACAGCTTGAGGTCAAGCTGCCGCGAGCTTAGGCACGTTGTCTGGTGCCTGTTGTGCTCAGCAGCACAGAACAGCCGTGCTGAACGGCCGAACCTGAGCTGCTGGCTGCTCAGGTGCACACAGCATTTGCTGGAGCTAACGGCCAAGAACAGCACGATGCTTCAAGGCACCGGCGCCAACAACACCCACACCGCTTTGATCAGCTGGAGCTTTCCAGTCTTTGTTTCCCCATGTATTGGTTTGCTCTTTGGATTTCAATATGTCCCGGGCCTGCGCTGCACTTGCAGGTGGCAGCTCCATTCCGACTGCCTTGGCACACGCCTAAGGATGAGTTCAACTTCCGCGCGTGCCGACTTGTTCGTTTCTAGAGTCCAGGCACCGTCACTCAGCAGAAAGTTTGGCGCAGGTGTTGGTGCAGGCTATCCAGTACCGCAACGCTCACTCTCTCAGAACCACTGACTGGGGCCCCTCGGCATTTGTCACACGCAATCCTCGGCCAAAGTTACAAGCTAGAAGCACAGGCACAGGCATTAAGTAGAAACAGGGGTGCGATGAAGCAGGTCCTTCCGGCCAGCTTTGTTGCTATCTGTGCTCAGGATCCTTCATCCGTAGTTCTGCTTGCACAATTGCTTGCCGCGTTGAGAAGCTATGCAAAGGTCAATTGGAGATCGGGAATGTTGTCGACAAAAGGCCGTCGAACGACTGCAACTTGTAGGATGTTGCATCAAATATCTAGAATACCACCGCTTTGTGGCCAATGGCTAAGAGATTTGTGATTGCAGGCTCACAGAAGGAGGCCTTCCAACGTTAGGCGAGATTCATGGCCAAGCCAGCCAGCGCCGAAAAGGCCATTGTGCAGCGATGCTTAAGCAAGGTGTAACAGGTGGAGCAAAAGAGCGGCGCAATGGCGGCGAGGAGGGCCACGACAGCCTTGGCCTTGGCCTTCTTCGTCTTCACTCCGACCTCTGCCTCTGCCGATTCGGCGGCATTGCAGGAGCTCCTAGAGGCCAGGGAGTGGAGCAGAGCGAGCAGCGAGCGGTACGTCTTTTGATTAAGGCTTCACAGCATGTTGAGGATGTTCTGCACTTCATCCCGGAAAGCGCAGCCAACAGTGCCGAGCTGCCGCGACGAAATCCACCTCAGAGACAGAGCAAGATCGACCATGTCGTGGCTCCGAGACTGCGTTATGGAAGCAACGTGAAACTCTGCAGCACTGTCTGTTGCTGCACATCATTTGACGGTGCGTCCAGGTACTGTACATGGAGAACCATGCCGCAGACAACTTCTTCGGCTGCATGGACCTTCCAGGGTTTGATGGTATCAGAGGTCATCGCATTCCAGCGGATCCTGCAGATCCATCCAAAGGCTTCATCAACATCACATGTGGAGCTGCGCCGTACGTTTGCACCCAAGGACCAGGCTATGCAACCTTTAACGGTAAGTTTGCCAAAGACGGCAATCCGCACAAGTACCCATACTCGCAACAAAGCGACGGCTACTCTGCTTGGTGGGGAGCTGCGGAGAATGGCACAGCGGTCACGATGTTCGCGCCAGAGCAGGTGCCCGTCAAGGCAGCGATTGCGCAGAATTTCGGGGTCTTCAATAAGCTCTTCACAGCCGTGCCTTCGGCAAGTAGCCCGAACCACCTGTTTACTCAGTCGGCCACCAGCTGCGGCATGACTTCGAATGTGCTTTGGAAGCAGTGCGGAGGAAACGGCACATACTTCCCGCAACCAACAATATATGACTCTCTGCGGTTGCACAATGTCAGCTTCAGCTTCTTCATGAACAGTACTTGCGGCTTGGACGGCAAGCCCTGCCATGGCGAAGATCCGCATGATCCCGACGCTGGCTCAGCAATCTCCACGCCCGATGTTGCGATGATTGGAGTCGCACGGCACAAAGATCGCTTCATGAGCCAGGAGATTTTTTACCAGCAAGCTGCCAACGGAACTTTGCCTGCGCTGTCGTGGGTGCTGCCACCCATCCAGGCATGTGACCATCCTTGCCACGACATCGCGAAGGGTGAACGGCTCTTGAAGGACGTGTACGAGGCCGTACGTGCTGGCCCTGGCTGGAATCGGACCCTGCTATTTGTGGCATATGATGATGCAGGAGGCTACTACGATCATGTGGTGCCTCCTTCCGAGGGGGTTCCAGCTGACAACTCATCCTGTGTGATCCCAGGTTCGCATCCTGACTGTGGTCCCGAATTTGACTTCCGTCGACTGGGACTGCGAACAACGGCTATGCTGATTTCGCCTTGGGTTGCATCCTGGCTGCATGTGCATAATGTGCTAATGCCCAAGGTGAAACAGTAAAATAAGTAGTGACATTTCGAAGACCCGGCATCAGAGGCCAAAGGAGCCGTGTACCAGGAGCCCAAGCGTGGCCCCACGAATACCTCCCAGTTTGAGTTGACTTCCGTCCCGGCCACTATCAAGAACTTGTTCAATTTGTCTTTCTTTCTGACCCAGCGGGATGCTTGGGCGGGCAGCTTTGACGAGTTGCTCTTAGAAGTCCCGAGATCTGACACACCCCTGCATCTTCCAGACGCCCCTCTTCCAGCTAGTCCATGGACGCCGCCGCCACCCAGAGTTCCAGCGGACACCGCGACCGTCGTGACCCCGCAGCACTGCAGCTCCTGGCATGGTCAGGCGGAGGCCCAGTGCAGGGGCCTTACTCATGCTAATTTAAAGCAGCAGCGCAATATACGCCTTTTGGCTGACATGCTGGATATTCCGGTGCCGGACGTTAGTAAGATGGATTACTTTGCTGCAAACGCATGGCTTCGCTCGAGATGGCGACTGTGGATGAAAGGCAGCAGCACAAGCGTGCCACAAGACGTGGAGATTGTTTAAGGCCGTGCGGCAGACTGCACAGCAAAAAGTTACAAAAGAAAGTCTCGCTGACACCTGGTTGCCTAGCCGCAGCTGCAGCTCCTGGATTCCTGACTCGCAGAGGTTGGTGGGTGGCCCTGACGAAATCCGAAGTCTGCTTGAGCAGGCGCGAAGGGCCGCAGGCCGACAGTGATAGAGGTTCCTCGGTCCAAGCTGTGGCAGGTCTTCTCAGACCTGTGTTCTTCCACGTCCGAGGCGCAACACTGTTCTGCCGTGGGATGTGTCATCGCTGCCGTCGCGTCCTTGATTTTTTGAACATTTTTTCCCATTTCCCAGTCGCCGTCGTGTCGATTCTGTTTCTACGAGAGGCAAGCAAATCCACATTCCACAAGTCGAAAAACATTTCAAAAGGCAAACACGATCGTAACCCAGCAAGCTCGTTAGCGTAATGCTGTTTGCCGGGAGGAAGCTGTGAAAGACAACCTTAGCTGAAGCAGTAGACTTTGTGACGACACTGCTGCTGCTACCGCAGACGGCACGTCCGCTGCGTGCTTGCAATGGCTGTGTGGTATTCTGAGTAAGGCAGGCACTGCAGCAAACGACCAAATCGCATGAGCCCCAGCCAGGGTTGCTGTGAGTGTGTGTGTGTGTACATGCGAGCACACATGCGCACATACATACATACACACACGCAAAGATAGATTAGGCCTAAGCACTGGACACACATGCGGCGCGTGCTTGGCAAAGCAGTGTCTGAAAGTGTAACGACTCTAGGGGTAAGGCTTATGCGAGTTTAAAGATATGTATGCCACGTATGCGGTTTCAGGGTGCTTAGGCCTTGCATCACCTTTTGTCTACCTAGCTCCGTGATGCCTCTTCGCATCAGCGAAAAAGATGTCTGTTGCACAGGAAAAGGCGAACAGAAGTCCCATCAACTGAAAGCCGTCATCTGTAAGACTGTAACATGTCGCCTGAAGCCCGCTATAGCAGGCATGGTCTGACCACGTTCACGGGGTGCATAGAGTGATCCAGGTCAGAAGGGGCGACAAAAAGTGCCTGATAGGAGAGGGAGGCAGGGAGGGTACTGCATGGGTGAAAGGCGGGGTGGGGTGTAAATTGGGGAGGGAACGGAGCGGGTAGAGGAGATCCATTCATTCGTTTTGACACGATCCGGGCAGGGCGTATTCGCAGAAAGATGTGTAATGGATAGATCGTGCGGGCCAAAGCCGTGCATGCATTGGATTCCACCGTCGCCTGTACGGTTTCCTTGCAAACCAATACCCTGGCCAATCCCGGTTGTGCACCCCAGCGATGCCCAGATTGGCAAAGGACCGTTTGACTGCGGCAGCAGCACAGCCTCTGAGAAACCTACGCTACCTGAGGCCGCCGCGCTCCCCCTTCTCTGAGACGGCTGAAGTCCGCGGTAAGGTCCGATGTCTCTCAGCTCTCGCGGCATGTTTAGCTGCTCAGCAGTGTCGCGCTAGACTACAAAGGAGGAATCGTCTGGCAGCCTGCAGGAGCAGATTCCTTGTACTTGCATCACGTCGGAAGTTGCCCCAGGGTTGCATCGAACAAACGTGGATCTCTGCTGACTGGCGTGACTTCTGGGCCATTCACGGTCTGACCCGACAGGCAGAACTTTTGACCTCAAATGTGTTTCTAAGCCAGCAAATGCAGAAAAGTGCGCATCAGATCTTGCAGTCAGCATGTCGGGACATCACAGCTAACCCGTACATTGATTTGCAATTTCCATGTAGTGTGGTGGGTCTGATGGGTTAGAGCCTGTTTGCATGTAGAAGTTAGAAGAACATCGACTTTTGGTAGGTCAAACTTGGATCATTAACAGGCTCTACGACTTGGTACTACTCACTGGTCGTGATGTCCGATCATTCGTGACCAAACTGGAAACCCCTGTTAGTCGTACATGAACTTTTGCCTCAGAGAAGAGTCGCATGGCCCCTGCGCAGGAAGCATGGCCACCACTAAGGTTCGAATGACACGCACAGATTGCGAATGGCTCAAGGCATCCGTCTCGCAACTCACGGGAAAGACGCGATTGATGGGTTTTGTCAGCCTTACGATTGGGCCCAGGCCTGTAATCTATGGCTAGCTCGTACAATCCTTTAGATGATCTTCCTCGTAGTGTACGGGTGCAATTCCAACAAAGTCCTGTCTTGTTGAATATTCCGAGTCATTACAGTATTGTTACAGCTACGCCATCCCCATCAAATCCTCGTAACCTTCAAGAGGTTATGAGCCCCAAGGGCTGCACTGCAACAACAGCAGCTGCGGCAAGCAACCCAGCCAGCTTCAGCATCTTCAGCCGATCAAGCGGATGCATCAGTGGCTCGCGACATCTGTCGAAAGTCATTATTCCTGCTGATTTGATATCGCGACTTGCGACTCTGAAGGAGGCCGCAGTACAGCTAGGGCAGATGGCGAGCCCTGATCATGTTCCCCAGCAAATGTGGGAGATTGCCGATGAGCTTTTCCGCAGGTCTGAGTTGCTAGGGCAGTGCATTTTGAGAACGGCTTCAGGAAGCCACGAGAACAGAGAGCAAATTTCTCGATTGCAGCCGCGCTCAGAGCTTTGCGCTCGCATGGTGTGCACCAAGAGCAGAAGCTGACTTCATTCGCTACGGAACGATGAACGTTCTTGCGGAGTTTGAAGCCAGCATGAAAGCAAAGTGGGATGAAACGTTTCTGAACGTGAAGTCCTTTGAAAGTGACCCGGAAGCGGCTAGGGCCACTCAGGCTGGAATAAGGTTACGAGGGGAACAGAGGCAGTACATGGTAGTCATGCTGGAAAGGCATGGTGCAACCATGGATGCAATGGCCAGGAAACAAGCCAGCAGCAGTGAGCAAATCGAACAGCTGAAGCAAAGCTTGGGTAAGGATCAGGCGGAAGCTGATTCGGTCAAAGACAAGCATGAGCAAACGTTGGAACAGGCTCGATGGGTCGTCACCAAGGCTGCCGAGCCAGAAGGGCTCGTGAGTCGGCTAAGGGAGAGAGTCAGAGAGACTTGGGAGGAAGTGATGCGAGGGTTGAGGCACCTAGGCCGAAGTTGCAACCATCACATCGGGCTTTGGAAACCTACCTTCAGGGCTTGCGTATTAAGAATCTGACTCCCGAGATCCCGGCGGCACGAGACGAAGAGCAGGCTGAGGACGCCTGGTGGGGCGAGGGAATTGAGTGGCCGGATGGGAGTCAAGACCAGGGATTGGCGATTCCTCCAGGTTTGAGCTTCGGCCCACAAAGGCCACCGCCAGAGTTGCTTGCAGACCTAACCAGACGGGGTGATGGTCGAGAGGTGCGGGAAGTCAAGATCCACCAAGCGGCATATAAACTCCTGAAGGATGCTCCAAAGCTTGATTTGTCAGCGCGTTGAGAGCTGCGGGAGGTGGGAATGGCAGTGCATCAGTGGAAACTGGAAACCCGAACGGTATTAGCGGCCACCCACTCTGGGCTTGCAGAATACTTCGATAAGATCTATGAGCAAGGGCGACAGCGCTATGAGGCTAAGCGGCTCACTGGAGTGGAAGCCACACTGCCAGAAGTCGCGAAAGCGGAGATTGAGATGGAGAATGGGTTGTCATTGACATTGCTGAAGAACCTTCTGTTGGCGGTACGTCAGCCTGTAGTTTTTTTGGATCAATGTCAAAAGACACCCCGAAAAAACTCCGATGTCTTTTGATGCTGGAAGAAGGTCTTCATGAGCGCTACATGCAAGGAGTTGGAGTCCATTCAGCAGATCCGTGATGCAAGAGCTGCTTAAAGTTGCGAGGTCGTGGTGACTGCAGAGGTCGCGCAAAGGAGAAGGGTCGGGCATGCATCTTTCATAACAAGCCTGGTGGCCTGGTGGGTGTTGGAAGGGCGCATCGTGCCCCTTTGTGCATCAAGAAGCCCCTAACGGCAGCAAGGGAAAGGGCCAAGGCAAGGACAAGGGTTCATCAAAGAGAAGTGGTAAGACTTCCCAGGACACTGCTCAACCCACGAAGCCTAAGCCGAAGCCAAGCCGAAACCCGGAGCAAAGCCGAAGGCTGCCGCGAAAGCTGCAGTGTCAGGGCTGTTGGGTGTTGACGTAGTTCCCTCTGTGTGTTCGGTCCATGCTAGAGCTATGGTTGTTCGGCAAGTGGAGACAAGGGATCGCGAGCCCGAGGATCAGGAGCGCGAGAGGTCCGTAGCACAGTCGGATGCAAGGGGAGTGAGTCAGGTAGTGGAGGTGGTTCTGATAGGCGTCGTACGGCTCCTTTGTGGTATCTAGTTCTGCGCCCGGATGAGTACACTTTGTGGACCAGGGAGGCCCTTCTGCTTATGACCCTTGCCAGTGCCCCTTTTGCGCAAGTGAACGGTCCCAACTTGATTGCGTTGGGGCTGTGGGAGATCCTCGAAGAGCTGGAGCTCCCAATGGAGAACGTGCAGATTGAAAGGGACCAGTAAATCATTGAGGCTCGTCAGGTTCTCTGTCTCTACGAGGATCGGGTGATAAGGCCTATGGTGTTGACGCATTTGATTGATGTTGAGAGCGGTCGTGAACAAATGTTGGCTCTCACTGAGAGTGGGGTGAGGCCTCATATTGAGAGTTGGACCCTGAATGAGGCACGCGAGATATTGCATCCCCGGTGTGGAGGTGTTTGCGCGTGGAGAACAACAGTTACATGCTACGGCATCATCAGAGGCGAGAGCTTTCACAGTCCCAAGACCTCCAGGGTACCCGGCTACCACATCAAAAGGTCAGTCAGCCGTTGATCCGAAAGCTCCCCCAGCAAAAGCATCAGGCTCAATTCCGAAGGCCCGGTCAGCAAACGCATGAACATTCCGGGTATGGCAAAGGGGGGAATGCTTGGTAGCCGATGTGCTGGCCAACGCTCTGGCCAAAGAGAAATTCAAGATCGCGCGTGAGCGATTGATTTTGCAAGCCGACTGTTGATGTATCTGGTGACTATCATGCTAATCATAATCTGTCTTTTGTGGACATCCGACAGAAGGAATAGTCCAGCAGATGTGACACGATTACATCTTTGAGGTTCGTGCATCATGTCCTCCACCCCTCGTAGAGGAATGATGAGGAGGAGTGCTAGTTGTGCCTCAGAGAAGTGTAACTACAATTGCAACAGGGTCGTGTCTTGTTGAATACTCCGAGTCATTACAGTATTGGCACAGCGACACCATCAAGGGTTGTAAGGATTGCAAACTCCAGCGTTTCGAGTCCCTCTTTAGGCCTTGTTGTGATTTCTCCGTTGTCCACATGGAGCCACACAGGGCGATCGATTCTACTACACGCTTCCATTAAGACCGAAGCAGAACAGCAAGGGAAGTCATCTGGCATGGGACCACTACATCAGTCAGCACGGTGGCTACCACAAGCGGTGTGCTCCCCAGGCAGGGTCAGCTGAGCGATTTACTGTGAAGCTTGACGAGTCACGCGGCACCTGGCTAATGCTATTGCAGCTGCTGCTGATGGTGCTGCTACTATGACGACTACTACTACTACTACTACTACTAGTTCCGAAAGTTGCACAGTCGGTCCGATGCCGATGATGGGCTAGCTTGCCACGTATTCTCTAAGCAATGATCGTGTGATGTATTCCCCACTGCTACTGGTACGGATTGTGATATGCGGAAACTACTGCGGCTACAGCCACATGCAGCACTTAATTCGCATTAATTCGCAATTCAAATCTTCAAACTCAGGACATACACGTCGAAGAGTCATCAGTGCTAAGTCTGGTCTAAGGCTTGAGCATATTCAATCTGTTGGTCTGCCGTCGTTGTGCAGCGAATGTTTTGCTTCACGCTGGGCACCATAAGACCATAGCAATTTTCAGCTCAAGCTTTGTTTCCGTTTTCTGCAGCCATGATTTTCGCAGTGCTCCCGGTGCTGGCCACTTGGACTTTGAAGGGTCTAGAGGCTGCTTCATGGCCCTCATGAGACGACACCGGATTTTGGGTTCAGCTTCAGGTTCTGCCAATTTCGGCAGCCTCTCCCTCACTGCCTGATCGAATCGAAGGTGCCCTGACTGCTGAGACGTTCCCAAGGTTTCAGTTTGAGCTGTTTGCGCAAACGTTTGGGCTTGCGTCTCACCTTGACGCACATGATGATTCTGGCAGGGTTTGCAGTGACAGGAAGGTCTAACACCGCATAAGAGAATAATTAGACACCGTGACATCGAGCTGTGACGCATTCAAAACACCACTCCGCGGCATGAGCTCCGCACTCCCTGGCCGTGCGACTCACGGTTGAGCGCACTGTGGTGGCAGGCCGTGGTCATTTTGCAAGTCCTTCGCGGCTTAGCTCTTGGGACAATTCAAGCGATTGGCGAAGTTGAGGTGCATTTTTTGGCTGCCTCGTTGCGGATGCTCTAAGCCTGGGCTTCTCAGCTGGGTCCAAAGCGACAGCGATTGCAAGACAAGTTCGTTCTGGTTTGCGCTTCTTGGTTTAAACAAGGTTCACATTATGAGTACGATGCAAAGGCCATCAAGCAGGCCTGGCTGCAGAACTGTCCAGACATGCTTTTGACAGCCTTTTCTTAGATGCCCCGCGAGGCTTATGGAGGTACCATCTCGCGATACATGGGCCCCGGTGAAGCTATGGGTGGCACGACGCACGGCGTGGGCTGGGGCCGGCGAAACTACCACCCTGGCCAGAAAGCTGGACAGTCTCTGTAGGTTCCTTCCACTGCGGCTTTTGTTGAAGGCGAGCCGCACACTCACGGGACAGGAGACCAGACGGATTATGGCGAGTACAATCTGCTGGGTAAGGACCTGAGACTTGCTTGGGGGGATTCCTGCACACGACAGTTCTGACTGTACGGGGCGACCGAGACTGTCCGAGGCTTGGAGTACCTGGCCTCACGCAGCGGTGCCGCAGCCAAAGCTGAAGTCAGGCGACTTCGCTCCACCATGATTTGCATGCTTTCAGAGCTACCGCCGGGGAAATGTGACGAAGCGGATCGCTAGAGAGGGCTCGGCATTTCTGACACTACTTTCAGGGCAGCGCAGCCCTGTGTCTTCAGGTTAGAGGGCCTTGTCCCTTACTGGCAGCAGCGTGTGACTTCGAAGTCTTGGGGTGCATGGCTCTGCACGCAGACAAAGCAGACACTTCAGCAGGCTCGGCCGGGTACAGGACTGCCGATGTCTAGGCTGAGGCTGCAGGCCTCGAGAAGAATCTCCTAACTCATGTATCGAAGGTGTCGCAGAAGGTGCCCTACGACAGGTTGGGCGGCATGTCCAATGCACCTTACCAGCAAACAACCACGTTTCCGAGTTGACCCAGCTCCCACTTGCCTCCCCCCTCCCCTCTTCAGGCGACTGATTTTGAGCTTACCTTCCTGATTTTGTCCAACCCCTGGATCACTCACGAAAGAAAAATGCACAGAACCGTTCTCCGACCGCCATGCACACACCACTGTTCCAGGAAGCTTGTTTTCAGCTGCTAACTGCTAACAGGAAACAGTGTTCTTTCGTTCACCATCTGCCAAAAACACAAATGTGCCTCGGACGGCTTTGCCCGATCGACCACAACCAACTATTGCGGTAAAGGTTTACTTGACCAGCTTGCCCAGCACCGCTTTCTCCGCCCAACCACAATCAAAAAAAAGCAACTAACGATCAAGCACCATTCCAGGACGGCTTTCTCCGAAAAAACACAAACGAGATCAAGCTCGCGACGATTGTGCTTGATCGCGTTTGTGGCCGGTCGGAGGAAACTGACTTTGGAGCAGCTCCTTCGTCGCGCTTGAAACTGTCGTCTCAAAGAAAGCTGTATTGGAATGGTTGAGTGCTTCATCCTCAACGTGTTTGGTTTGTAGTCAGTCAGAGAAATTAAGCTGTCCTGGACGTTCCGAGTTGGCAGCCGCTCTCCCGGACATTTTGTGCATGGAGTCTTATGTCTTGATGGTGTGTGCTTTCTCGAGTTTGGTAGGTTGATTCGACCGCATCATTTCTTGCAAAGTTGCATCTGGTAGCGGGGTGTGGCGAAAAGCGAACTGGGCTTGACGTTGATCGGGTTGTCATCAAATTGTTTTGGGGATTTCGTGTGTTCGGTAGCTGGCTAAAGACAGCTGCTCCCGATCGTGCCTCGGGTAGCTGATCAAAAGCAACCGTCCTGGAGTAGTTCCGTGTTTGATCGTCCCCATGGTCGGTCGGAGAAAGCTATCCTTGGCATGTGGTGCCTTCGGCAGCTTGTCAATTATAATTATAAGTCCTGAACATCCTTCCTGGAAGAATTGCGTGATTGATCGCGGCTGTGGTTGGTCGGAGAAAACCGTCGGTGGTGTTTCATGCGGTTGGCAGCTCGGCCGAGAACTGTCTTGGGTAGTGGCGTGGGAGCAGGACGTCATGAGCATCTTTTGTGCTATCAGTAGCTGGTCAATCACAACTGTCCTGGAACAGTTGCGTGTTTGATCGTGATGTTGGTCGGTCGGAGAAAGCTGTCCTGGACATGTTGGGTTCTTGGTAGCTGGTCAAAGAAAGCTCGCCTAGAATAGTTTCGTGTTCGATCCCGTTTGTGGTCGATCGGAAGCAACTGTAACTGTCCCTAAGAGTCTCTGCTGTTTTCGAAGAAAACTATTTGCTGCTGCCGTTGGCAGTACTGTTTACATCTGTTTACTACACTTGCTGCATGGACGACTCCTAGTATTTACGTATCTGGACTCCTGCCACCGTTATGCTTCAGCGAAAGTCATGCGTGACGGGACACGTAGAAAGTATGGGCATTGTGCAGACGCACAGATGCCAGAATATCCAGTGCTTGGCACCTCTAGCCTGCCCTAGCTTCGTTGCCTCTCGCAAGTTCTCCCGCCAGATAGGCCTGGTCCATGTAGGCAGCCACTGTGGTAGTCTAACATGCGGGAGCGGGGCAAGCCGGACGGGTGGGGCAAGTGAAGTGAGCGCACATGCTTTTCGCCTCAAAACCATTATGCTGGAAGTGTCCACTATGACAATGAGGTCGCTCTATGTAGCATGTACCAGAAGCTTCGAAGATGCCTTGTCAGGCTATGTCCCTTCGACACGCCGCGGCCTACGCTGTCTTCGACACCGAGGCTGAGGTCGTCAAAGCTGCGCGTTGCTCGGCCGGAAGCGCAGCTGCCCTGAAGATACAGCCGCAGGCGAAAGTGGCATCGTCTGAGGCACAATGATGTTTACGCATCGAAACTCGGAAGCCTTGGGGGGTGGTGAATTCTTCGGCCGGGTGGCTTTCCGCATCATCCACAAGAACCTGAAGCCTCGGCAGGCACGGGCATTGTGAAGCACATTGCGAATATGACAGCCGATTTTCATCATGCAGCGCTCTCTGTGAGGCTATCGAGCAGGTCGCTTCAGACATGGGCGGCTGGTTCAAGCAGAAGGTCACATGCAGGGCTTTCAGAAACATTCAGGCATGTTTGGACAGATGTTAGATCACAGCAAGTTTGGCCGAAGAGACCTACACCTAGCCGGGGACGGGCTCTGCCCTGAAGCGATGCCCAGCTTCAGGCCCAGCAGGGCATTGCCAAGTTCGAGGAAGCGACGGACCCGACGAAGCCGCTGTTCAAAGAGGCCAGGAGTCCAAAATGTAAATCTGCCTTGGGTGGGGCCTGTACAGATTTAAACTATTTTAATCCACTCGCAAAAAGGCAGGGAGTTGCACAAGATCTCAAAGCCTGTTTGGACTGCAGTAGACTCGAGAGAGTATTGCCAGTCATCACATCCGACACTTCAACCTGCATCGTTGTGAGAGTCTGATCAAGTAAGAGCAATTGCGCTTTGGCCGATATTTGCGGCCGTCAAGCTCCAAGGAGTTTGTGGATGATCTGGCCATGACATCTATGGCACGGCTCTGGGATGTCGGCAAGAGTGAGCCCATTAAGGCCACCTTGTGCCAGGGATCGGCTACTGTGTAGTCAACGGAATTCCGTTGCGTCGGGTATGTGTTTCGCACCAGTCAGTACAGCAGTTCAATGACACGAGAGGTGCTCGTTGCTCACACCCTCCAAGAGCAAGGGTGCCTGTGCATGAGTAGAAGCTGCAGGTTGGCAAAGCATCTCCCACCGAGGGTACCCTCCCTAGCAGCGTGTACATCATCCTCAAGAAGCTTGGCGCAGGTGATCACAATGGTGGGATTGTTTGACCACGTAGTAGATGTTGCTCCTGCAAGACCGGGAATTTAGTAAGAAGATCTAGGCAAATGCGCTAGTTTGCGTCAGCGAGATCCCTTCTTCGTGCGTCACGCCCGTCTACTCAAGGTATGAAGGTGACATCGTCGCCGGCCTGAAGGCGGGAGATTTGTCCGGGGCGAGACGCCAAATTGCCGAAGCAATGGGTTGACTGACCTGCGAAGACTCCACCACATTCGCACTCCAGGCAAAATGTTCTGCAGGTGCAACTAACTAGCAGATCAAAGGCTGGTCAGATTCGGCATTTGAGACTTGATCTAGCGCCAGTATGACCAGAATACTTCTGGCAAAGGCAAATGCCATGGTTGGTGGCGACAATGCTGCTCGCTCTGTGGCCATCGGTCTGGTGCTAGGCACCTGCTGTCAACCTGCTATCTGCTCTCATGTTTGCAGCTGGTGCAGCGGCCAACAAAATCTTCATACAAGCAGGCACTCACAGGTGCGTGGAACTGATGCTTCTCGGTTTCCCGCCAGGTGCCTACCATGGTGCCACTGCCATCCCCGAGGATGAGATAGTCCCTTAGACAAGCTTGTTTCTTTGCCCCTAGGGCTTTTAGGCTTGTCGGGCTTGGGTACACCATGACTGCTAGCGCGTATGGTCTGTAGTCACAAAACACAACCTCTCGTTCTGTCCGCAGGATCTGCGTTCCACGCTCAACGCATGGCCGAAGGTGGCCTAGAGAACGGCAAGATTGGACGTTATGCTCACACATGAGCTTTCAAAATCTGTGGAAGGGTTCTGGAGTAGTATATCCGAGCGTTGAAAGGCAGAGAAGCTGCTCCGCTCGCTGCCGCTGCTGCGCGAGCTGAGGGGGAAGAGTGAGCTTTGAGCTCTGTACGTGATCGGCAAGACCGCGAGCACCGCGCCCCAAGCGCTTGGGGAGCGGAGGCCGAAGAGACAGAAACAAGAAAAGGCTGCAGTATGCCGCAGTGAGTTTAGGGTTTAGGGCCAAAAATCCCATGTTGCTTGTGCTTGGGCTTAGAACCGAATCCCCCATTCCTGAAAAGTCACGCCATTTTTGCCCGCCATGAGGTTCCCCTGGTTCTCCTTGGTGTGCTTGGCCATGGAGGCGGTACTTGGCCTGAAGCCTGAGCCTGAGGCCGTGCAGTTACTTCAACACAGGCTGCAGCTACAAGGCCCGCAGGAGCCCCGCTTGAAAGCTGCAGAGCCCATCAACTGGATTCATTCCCCGAAAAGCGGCAGCTCCTTCCTCAACGCAATATGCCCGATTGCCGCTGATTTGACAATCAGCGAGCAGTCACTGGGGCCTTGCTTCCTGCAGATTTGGACTGATGTCATGTGCCCGCAGTTGTGCGATCAGGACAAGTTCAGATGCAAAAGTGACCTGTGCATGCCACACCCGCCAATCGACAATTATTGGGCTGAAAAGGGTACGCTCATGGGTTTGTTTCGAGACCCTGATCAGCGGCTGTGGGTACAGTGCGCAAACCCGAGCTTTAATATAGCAATCCTGTCCTATGTATGCGGCTGTGGGTACAGTGCGCAAACCCGAGCCTTAATAGCAATCCTGTCCTGTATGCGACTGTGGGTACAGTGCGCAAACCCGAGCCCTAATCGCAACCTTATTTTGTGCGGCTGTGGGCACAGTGTGCAAACCCGAGCCTTAATAGCAATCCTGTCCCAAATGCGGCTGTGGGTACAGTGCGCAAACCTCACAACCTCATTTTGTGCGGCTGTGGGTACAGTGCGCAAACCTGAGCCCTAATCGCAACCTTTTTGTGCGGCTGTGGGTACAGTGCGCAAAACTGAGCCCGAATCACAACCTTATTTGTTGTGCGGCTGTGGGTACCGTGCGCAAACCTGAGCCCTAATCATAACCTCTTTTTGTTGCGGCTGTGGGTACAGTGCGCAAA